AGTCTATTTGAACTCTAGAATCCCAAGCAATTAACCACCTCCTGACCAGCGTGTGCATTAATCTAAGGCGTCCAGAATGCTCTTAGTCCATTCCAACCCCCGTGGTTGCCTGCCTGTTGCTCCACCAACACTGTAGCCAGAGGTTCAGGGTTCACATGCTCGGCCACCTCAGGTGTACCTAACCCAACGAGGCAGCTGAGGACCCCGCAGAGGGGCTGGAGGGCTGGCCACTCGGCCTCCCCAGCCACACCCAACACCAGGGCCACCAGGCCAGCGGGTCTCACATCCAGGAGCCAGACAGAGAATATCTGTAAGCAAGTGTAAAAAGTGTACCTCACTGCGACGGTGGTCAGTTTAACATGTTTGTATATATGACTTTTATAAATCTATTAAAATTGGCCTTAAGTTACACTTCTTAGTGTTGTATCCTTCCAAGAGGATCTCTGGTAGCACGCACAGCTGCTAATCAGGTTAATGGTTCAAACCCACCAGCGACCCCAAGGGCATAGGTGGCAGTGGGCTCCCATTGAGATGAGGACCCTGAGGGGCGGCCGGAGAGCTCTGTCCGTCGAGCAGCCTGGGTTGCGCTGCGTATGTGCTTGGTCAGCCACTTGGCTGCTGACTGGAGAGCAGTTGGGTTGAAGCAGCAGCCACTCCATGGAGACAGGCCTGGAGTCCTCGGAAGCCCTGTCACCTGGGTCCAAGAGTCAGACGCGACAGACCCAGCAGTAGTCAGATGCCATTTCCACACTCTGTCACTGCTGCTCTGTTTACAGTGAATCCTCCTGTCTGTGGGTGTGCCCTGGCTGCAGTGGGGTCACCATGGGCTGGGAGGGACGTTTGGAGGTGACCAAGCTGCGGAGGTGGCTGTGGTCTGCACCAGGGCCTGTCCTAATTGTGGCCCTGGCCTCAGTGGGTGATGGTGTCTCGCCCCTTTGCCACACCCGCAGGGGGAGGTCTCACATGAGAACAGAGCCCCTGCTGGTACAGACAGCTGACATGCCAAGCTGCCGGCAGACTGAAGTTCAAGGGCCTGGCAGTACGCGTTGCAGAAGTGAGTCCGGAAACCGCTGAGGAGGGCAGGGCTTCCCTGACACATGGGTCACTGCGAGTCCAGTCAGCTCCTCAGCAGTGGCTGCCTGGTCCACAAATGTTGGCGGGAGGTGTGCTGGCAGTGAGCACCAGCTCTGGTTCCACTGTCTCCCAGCAGTCCCCTGCCTGCAGCTTCCCAGGACTCCTCTGTCCAGTCCTTTGGTAACCCATGGCACAGACAGTATTCCCCTACACAATTCCTCTGAGGCTTAGTGGGACTCTCCTGTCCCATGTGTAGTGCACACTGCTGTCTGGTGGTGACCTTTGGAACTGCGGGAATCTAGAGACTGGCCTCATGCCGCCCTCAGAAACAGATGCCTCGGGCTCACAAGCCCCACTGATTGTATCAAAATCTGTGCTTCCTTAAAATGTTTCATTCAAAATGTTTTCTATTACCAAAAAACAGTGGTTCTAACAACAACAACAAAAATAGAAAGCAGGAAATAAAACTGAGTCTTGGGAGGGCTACCTGTGGCAGGTGCGGACACTCCCCTGGGGCAAGCGGCTAGGCCATCTGAAGCTGTTGTTCTAGCTGAGATCACCCAGTCCTATCCAGGATAGCACCACTGCTAACTGGAGGGTCAGTGGTTCGAACCCACCTCCAGGGCCTCCAAGGGAGAGCAAGAAGACAGCCTGTTTCCATAGCAAGTAGTCTTGGAAACCCTGTGGGCAGTTCTACTGTCCTGTGGGGTCGCCGTGAGTCGGGCTTTGGTTTGTTTCTGAGGATCCCAAATGGGGCTGCAGCCTTTGGCTGCCACACAGAAGGTCTTGGGTTCAAATCCAGCATCTCCTCCCTGGGAAGAAAATTAAGCCATCTGCCTCCATTAAGATCACAGCCCTGGAAGCCGTATGAGGCAGCTGTGTTCTCCTCCTGGGTTCCTAGGAGACAGCATCAACTAGAGGACAAGGCAGGTGGTAAGGAGCCATGGGAGTGCCACTCGGCTGGTAACCGAAAGGTCAGTGGTTCAAACCCACCCCGGTGCCTCAGAGAAAGATGAGGCAGTCTGCTCCTGTAAAGACGTAGAGCCTCAGAAACCCCGGGGGGCACTTCTCTGGACCCCACTCTGTCCTGTAGGACCCTGGCAGTCAGAACTGATGGAAAATAACCACAGCATGAGGCAGAAGGTCCCTGAGAGCATTTGCTCTCTTCAGAAGCCACCGGCCTGCCATCTGTTCCTTCAGTCAATGCTGGAGAAGCAAACATCCAAAGCAAGTTCATGACCATGGGCTCTTGTCCCCACCTGGCCCATGCAGGTGGATAAGGGTGCACACCTAGGAAGAGGAAGAGAAGGGCGGGGGGGAGGAGGAGAGCTTTGTTCCTCAGCCACAAAGGAGACAGGGACCAGCCCAGGCGGCCGCTGGCCCCAGGAGGGGTGGGCACTGCTTGTCAGCCAAGTTTTAACCTAACCCACTGCTGTGGTCAGTTATGACCCATGGGGATCCTCCAGCGAGTTTCCGGGCTGTCAATCTTTGCGGGAGGAGACAGCCCCCCTCTCTTGGAGCAGCTGGGCTTCCATCCGCCCACCACATGACTCAGGACACCACCAGGACTTGTTTTATAAGTGTAGACAGACCTCAGGAGACTCAACAGCATGTAACAATAACATGATGACAGGTTTGGAAGCAGGAGTGGCATCCACTTCCTAAACATACTCCAGAAACTATGAACTTTGAGAATTTTATAGAGGGGTTTCAGGCCTTTTGTTCCTAGGGTCACTATGAGTCATGCTTGACTCGAAGACAATCAACAACAACAGATTTTAAACACACACAGACATTGTAGTAGCCCGTGGGATCGCCAAGGTTACAACGTGTCTCCCACCCCAGGGCGTGACTGACCCCCATGCCGAGGAATCATCCACCGAGGTCCATGCAGTTTGTGGCACAGTGACCTTGGGAGGCAGCTTGCCGGGCCTTTGCTCTGAGGCACCCAGCGGCTCCCCCAGCACAATGGGCCCTTGTCGGGTGCCGTGGGGCCAGTCAGACATAGCGACCCCTGCGACAGAGTGGAACTGCCTGTGGGGTGTCCTCGGCTGTCCCCTTCCTGAAGCAGATGGCGTGGCCTTTCTCCCAAAAAGCAACTTCTAGGCAAACTTAACCGCCGCAGAGGGAGGGAAGACACCCCACAGCCACAGAGGACGACCTCAGCATCCTGCCAACCGAGGGGAGAGGCAGGCAGCTGGGGAAGGCCTGGGGACAGGAGACCACCCCCGCCACCTGACCTCAAAAACCCCACTCACAGAGGCCTCAGCAGAACCACCTCCCACCCCGAGAACTAGGCTTGTCACCTCCGGTCCCAAGAGGAGGGGCTCAGGAGAGCCAAGCTTGGGTCCCACAGGCCCCCTTCAGTCCTGGGACCCAAACACTCTCCTCCAGCCACCAGGAGCCCTGCCGGAGTAGCAGGGTGCCACTAAGCAGAGGTAAGCAGTGCAAACCCACCAGCCACTCACGGGAGAAAGCCAGGCAGTCTCCCGGGGAGATGTGAAGCCCCGGGGAGGTGTGGGGAGTCGGGTCCACGCCACAGCAATGGGTCTGGGATTTCCAACAGCTCCTGGCGGGAGGAACAGTGACAGGTTCCAACCTGCAGGGTGACACTGGTCCAGGAGCTGTCACCAAATGCCAGCCCCTTGGGCTGATGTGCATCAGGCCAAATGCACTCCCGGGAGGTTTACATAAGCTGCTGCTGCCTTGAGGAGCCCTCACCCCAACTCCCTCTCACCCCTACCTGGGCCTGCGCCGTCCTCTCAGTCCCTCCGAGCGGAGGCACCGCTGCAGCCACCCTGTCACCCATCTCCTCGAGGGGCTTCCTCCCTCACTGACCCTCTATTTCACCTTCCTGACAACGTCCATAGTGCCTGACACGACGTCTCCCTGTTACTGCTTCTAAAAGCACGCTGGCCGCACTTCTACGACAGATTCCCTGTACATCTCACAGTCCGTGACATACTCTTCACAGCGTAAGAATTCAAAGGCCCTCACTCCTCATCAGTTTTCCTTATTCACTATTGAGCTTTTTTATGCACCTGAGGAGATTAAGAATAGCCTGGCTCAAGTCAGGTGTGCCTTGGTCTTCAGAGTAGCATCCTTGCTCTCTCACCAGGACTTTCTTCCCAGGTATTGCTGTGTGGGTTTAAACCTCCAACCTTCTGGAGTGCCCTCCAGTCGGGCTCTCTGCCATGTGCTCACCCATGGCTTCCTGGTGGGAAGGCACACTGTGAGGCCACTGAGGCCAGGATTCTGGTAGCATGGCAGATGTCCCTTGGGGGTGGGTTTCCAAGGTGGGACAATTTACTATAGAGGCCGGCTATTCCTTTGACTGAGACCCCACTGATGGTCTGGGAAGTTGAGTCAGCCGTGGCAGAGTGGGGGCACAAGGAGGGGCTCCTGCCCCAGACATGTCTGACCCCCAAGCTAAAACAAGCACCCAGCATTCCCAAAGTCTGGCGTGGGAGGGGGAAGAACCCCACTTCTCCCACCCCTGTAGTTGGGTAAGGGCTTGGACCCCATGAAGTGTCCTGAGATGAGGGGCACAGCGTGTGCTCCCCACAGGGCGTGGGTTCTCCTGAGCAATCACCACCCAGAGGTGCCTTGAGGGCCTCAGGGCTGGCCAATGTCCACCTCTGAGGCTGCAGCTGGACCAGCTTCTGTCACGGACAGGTCCCTCTCCAGAGGGCCCTGGGAACTGAGCCCTGACGTCAGCCAGGACCAGGGGACGTGGCTCTTCCCACATCACTCAGACGGCCTCCTGGCTAATCCTTCTCCTGCCGCCAATGTCTGGAGAGCACCTCGGCCTTGGCCAGCCTCAAGGAGCCCAGCTTTCTCCTCCAGGAGGACAACGTGTTCCCCAAGGCCTTCCGCAGCCCCACACTGTCCTGGGTGCTGGGTGGGGCCTGCTGGGGGGTGGGGTGCTGCCCTGTGAACAGTTCCCACCGGGGCATCGCATCCACTGTCCCATCCAGCTGGGCCAGTTCCTCCTCTGATACGTCCCGCTCCAGGGCCTGGATGCAGGTGACTAACCACAGCATCTGCTCCTGGACGGCCTCTTCAGGCTGGCCCCCCAGGTCCACCGGGGGGCTCATCCCCTCCCCTGGCTCCAGCTCGGGTGCCCCCACATCAGGGGTCAGAGGGTCTGACACGCTGGTCAGGGCCTCCGAGTCGTTCTCGCCACCGAGTCCTGAGTCTGCACTGAGGGGCAGCGTGTCCTCTGACCCTGAACACTCAGCTGCCTCCCAGCTGGGTCCGGTCCCCGCCAAGGCCTGAGTCCACACGTGAAGCTCCTGAAAGGGAGAGACACAACTGAAGTCCCCTCTGGGTCCCCAGATCACTCCAACCCTCCTCAAGGACACCCCACAGAGCCTCTGGTAGGTCTGGACCAGTAAACCAGTACACTTTTTTTTAAATTTATTATTTTTGTGGGTGTACCGTCAAATCGGATCTGACTGGTACAGGAGGAGACTGCCC